GGGGGGGGGAGGAACTCCTGTGGGGGAGGGGATAGGATGTGAGGGGGTTCGGTCGGTGCTGGTAGTGCGAGCAGTCCTCTCTCCAGGCCTGAGTCGGTGTAGTCTCCCCCCACCCTGGCCTCATTCCTGTACCTTTGTTGGCCTCCTCGGCCTGGGTTTGTGAGAGCCCCTCGGCTGCAAGGCGCCTGCCACAAAGTAGCTCCGGGCCAGCCGCAGCCGCTCTCCCTCCTCTGCTAGTTGGCGGCCTCGGCGCTCCTTTCCCTCCACCTCTTTTCCTCTCTCCTGGCCTCTTTTCAGGGACTGCCGGCTGGCGTGTCTTTCTTGGGATCACAAGCTTGCACTCGCACACAGGCCCGCGTCCCGCCCGCCTCCGCGCGCTGCTCCAGGCTACCCGCGGGCCAGGCGCTCGCAGCCGCGCGGGCTCAGCGTCTTGGGCCACCCAGAGCGCCGCTCTCGGGGAGCGGCTCACAAAGGCAGCCTCCCTTGGCCTCCGGCCCGCAGGCTTTCGTAGCTCGGTTCCTTCCCCACTCCCCACCCCGAGAAATCCTGGGGCCGTTTCGCCGTGTAGGACACCCCTGGTCCTCGGAACTAGAAGGCCAGCGCCCCGGGACTCGAACTAGGCTCTTTAAACCCCCCCCGGGAGAGTGGGTGAAAGGCGAGCCTGGTCACGATTAAAATGATCGCCTGCAAAGCGGCTTGCTTGGCTCAAAGCGCCTTTCAGGGCTCTTCTACTAGAAAGGGAAGGAGCGAGGAGGAGACAGAACGCCGCCCAGGCCCGGAGCTGTTCAGGGCATCCGCGGCTCAGCCAAGCTGTTGTTTTAAAGGAGCAATAAAAATGAATTATGACTAAACGCCTTCTAACTTAATGCTTTCGGACGGGGATCCCCGGCAAATACGTAAGAGGATTTTTATTTGTGCATGTGTTCCTGCAATTGATCTCTTTGATGACATTCTCATTCATAGAAAGCGTTTGATTTATGAGCGTAGGACGAATCGCATCCAGGAGCGGCGCAGCCCTGGCCGCGGCCGGGACGCCCTGCTCGGCGCTGCGCCTGGGGCCGGAAACCGGCAGCAGTCCCAACACCCTTCGCCGCTGCTGGGATTTAGTGGGTGAAGGGGTGGGCGAAGGTAGGGAGCAAGCAGCACATGAAAAAAGATCGCGGTTTCGTTGTAACTTCCAAGCCTTTCCTGTTAAGAGCTGGGTTCTTAAATCAACCCGCCCCACACACATGTTGCTTACAAGCTGCGTTTTCTCACGGTAAGTAGCCATCAGAAGAGAGCTCAAAAAGGGACGGAGAAACATGGGGAGAGACAAGAAGGGTGGGGGGGGGGGACCAGAACAACCCAGTGACACACCCTAGATCACATTTTATTGATATTTCATTTAAAGTGCTTTTTCTCATTCGCTCTAGAAACTGGGTTGATTTATAACCTAGTGCAGAAGCATTCTATTTTAAATCTCAACTTGCTAACCTAACTTCAGAGCGTTAATGATCCGTTATTAACAATGTAAACAGATTTAAGAATGAAATATTGATTTTTTTTGACCCTAAAAAAAAAAATGTGCGAATGATTGAACCAGAGGATTGGAAAGAATCTTTTCTGAAGTACACTTTCCAGGTAGTAATCACTGTTTGTTTTATTCTTGTTTTTCTCTTTCAGGTCTGCTTTGCCTGAGTCCATCAACAGCTGGGAGATTAATCAACCACACTGAAAATGAGGGATTTGTGAGGGAGGGGTTGAAATGTAGATGTTTAAAACAAATGTGTATAAATAAATGAATTGTTGATAACTTAGTTATTGACCTGGAAACTAGTAGCTTGTTAAAGAAACTCCATTTTACTCATCCTGGAGTTGAGGGTTTCTGTAGGCACTTTATTTCTCCATTTTCAAATGCTTGGGCTTGGCCCAAATCTTAGGCTGCCCAATCCTGTTTTTATTACCAATTTAAATCTATGGCTTGAACCTGTACACTGAAAACCAAATCCATTCCCTTAAAAAAGAAGGAAAAGAAGAAGAAGAAGAAGAAGAAGCAGCAGCAGCAGCAGCAAAAAAGCCAAAAGCACTTGTCAGAAACCGTAAGCATTTTCTGGCTTTCTTTTTTGTTGCTGTCCACTGAAGACTTTGAACATGCCGCCTTAGTAAATATATTAAAATTGAAAAAGAAGATAAATTGTGGTGAGAATTTTATTTACCAAGTTAGACTAAAAGGAGAGAAAATGTTATGAGCCTTGAGAAAGAGGAGAAAAATAAGAAAGCTACTTATAGCAAAGGAGAATTTATTCTACCAAAAATACCCATGACAATGCATCCTAATGTAATACAAAAATAAAAAGAAAGTGAAGATACAATTATATGATCACTTTCTTGCAGGCCTCATATATTGCTCTCAGGAAATCACATAGAGGGTTGTTGGATTAGGTTTAAAACAACTAAAACTCCAAAATAATCAGTCGAAGATGGCTCTGAAACTGGGTCAGGGGAGTCACTAAACAGAAAATCCTCAGCATTTAAAGGAGGGAAGGGTATAGGTCAAGAAGAAAATAAAATATAAATCAACTGCCGGAATAAAAGAAGGCAAAACCACCTGGTCAAAGGGGTTTTTGTTTTGTGATGCTTTGTTTTGCTTTAATGTTTTTAGTAATTCAGATGCTGCAAGTCAATTGTGGTGAGTGTGTCTGTAAAAAAGTCAAAGCTGTCAGCTGAAATATCTACGGGACTGTCCAGGGAACCTGGCAAACTGGGTGAGACTGCATCTGAAAGCTGCAGGCAGGAATCTGTGGAGAAAACGTTAAAGTCCTGCAAAGAGGGGACCTCGAGGGCCTCGGGACTGTCATTGTTTAGGCCAGCGCCACAGTTCTGGCCCATTGTTGACAAGCAGTTAGGAACAGTGGGTGACTGGTGCTGAAAATGTTTCAGATTTTTCTCATTGCTGGTTAAAGGCGAAACTGGGAAACTTTGGGAGTCGCCATTGTGTCCATTGGGAGCCTGCTGCTGAGAGAGGGCATTTTGCTGAAAAGTGTAACCTTCCCTCTCCAGAAGGGCCCCGGAGACGCTAAGGGCTTGCTCAAAGAGCGACTTCTCCTCCTCGTCCTCCTCTCCTTTCTCGGAGTCCTCCAGGCTTTTAAATTTCCCTTCGCTGTTTTGGTTCTCTTTGCACTGGGTCTGCCTCTTGTGCTTCATCCTCCGGTTCTGAAACCACACTTTCACTTGTCTCTCGGTCAAATCCAGCAGCGCTGCAATCTCCACCCTTCGCGGTCTGCAAAGGTACTTGTTGAAATGAAATTCTTTTTCCAGCTCTAAAAGCTGCGTGTTGGTGTAAGCAGTTCTCAGGCGCCGCGATCCCCCGCCGCTGCCATCGGCGATTTCCAGGGATTCTGCGGAAAGGGAAACCAACAAGAGACACACGCACAGTTGGAGGTGGAGGGGTCCGAGCGGGGTTATTCCACTGGAGAATAAATATAGCAGAAAAGATCAACTGCAACAAAATGGCCGCCCCTGGATGCAGTAGAGCTATTGTGCTGCCTTTCCTGGGAGCCCAGCCTGGGGAGACCCTATCTCCTCCACCTCTATCAGATTCATGGCTTTAGCTCCCCCCAACCTCTTCATCCGGGAGCAAACTTTATATTAGCCACAACGCAATTTATAATTAATGCATCAGCTGCTTAGCTGAGCAAGAGCGATCTATCACTCTTCATTACTGTCAAAAAGCCAAACTCTAGGACAACTAGACAAGAGGAGGTCAGTTCCAACTCAAATAAATCATCCCACATTACACAAGTTAGGGAAAGTTGCCCCCCTTTCTAAAAATATATATGCCTCATGTTGGAGCGCTGGGTTCCCCTGCCTCTTCGTCAAACCCACTCCTGAGCCCACAGGGGCCGGGAAAAGGCGCCCAAGCCCCTCTGTCTCGCCCCTGCTCCCCCAGCCCACGCTCCCTCCCCCATGGCCGTTCCCGGGGCAGTCCGGAGAGGGAAGAGGGTCCCGGGACCCGGGGCCGGGCCTTGGGACTGACCTTTGTGGCTGAGGCAAGCTGGGCCGGCGGCGGCGGCGGCGGCTGCAGCGGCGGCCGGCGGCGGCGCGGTTTTCTTGGCAGTATTATTCTCCTTCATCCAGGGGTACTCGGGCGGCTGCAGGGCCCCGGCGGGCCCCGGACTGCCGCGGCTGCCCGCGGGGCTCGGCTTGGGGCGGCCGCCCGCGCCGTGGCGAGGGTGACTGCCCGGGTTCAGGCTGGGAATGGTCTGCTCAAAAGGAGGAGGAATCAGTGTCGAGTGTGAAAGCGTCGAGGTCTTGATTGATGAACTTTGAAATGTATCAGCGACAGGGGGAAAAGATGTCAGGCACTCAGCGAGCGACGGCTGGCTATTGATAAAACCAATCTCTCGCTCAAATTCGTAATTCATGGCCTTCTCCTTGGAGCCCCCTCGGAGAAAAAGTTCCCTCTTTCGGAGGGGCTTGGGGGGGGCAAGGCCCAGGAAAAAGGCGAGCGCGGAGGGGAAAAAAAATCTATCATAGAAGATCGCTGCTGGGGTGTTTTTTTTCTAATTCACTGATTACAGCCGTATGGGGACCGCGCTACTATTAAACTATTGAATTCATGGAGACAAGGTTGAAATTGGACCGAATTGGCTGTCACATGATTGCTTCTGCCCAATGACAATTTGGGCTTTAATCAAAAGAAGCCACTGTCTGTTTGATTGATCCAAAAAAGTCGGGAAGGAACGCCTCATTGGGGGCCAGCGAGGCTTTATTTACACTTTTTTCAGGGCAAAAAATACATATATGTGGGTGTGGGTGGGAATGCCCGGGAGTGCGTGGGGGCAAGGGTGCCCGCCCGCCTCTTGATCGGCAAGGATCCGGTGTGTGCGCCTGGGAGTGTGTGCGAGTGTGTGAGTGTGTGAGTGTGAGCCCTGCTGCCGGTCCCGCTGGCTGCTGCCCTCTGCCTCCCCCGCACACTCCGCGCATTGTTTGGGACTGTCGGGAAGACGCCTCGCACCTCACAAATCATTTAAGCACCTCAGGCTGACGCCTGCAGTCATTAACAAAGTAATCCATTAATCTTCAAAGTTTTGACACCCGAGGGCCCCCGCATCCCAGTCACATAAGTTCTGTTAAGGCAGGAGGAAGGAGCAGAGGATGAGAGGAGATGAGAGAGGAAGAATAAAGAGAGGGAGGAACAGAGAGATGGGGGAGAGAGAGAGAGACAGAGAGAGAGAGAGAGAGAGAGAGAGAGAGAGAGAGAGAGAGAGAGAGAGAAGAAAGAAGATGCCAGTGTCCTTCTTTTCTTTCCCTTTGCCTTCTTCACTTTTTCTCAAACCAGTTCCTGGATCTCATAACTGATCTCTCGGTCTCTGTTTCCTTCCTCTCTGTCGGTCTTCCCCTCTTTTTCCTCTTCTCCTCTTCCTCTCTCCCTCTCTCTCTTCTGTCTGCCTCCTCTTCCCCTGCAGCCCCCTGCCCCCCCTCCCAGTGTCCAGCCTGGAATCCGCGCCCCCGGCCCATTGTTAGGAGGCTATTCCACGACAGCTTTGCATCTGGCTCCGGCGGGAAGCGGAAAACAGGAGGCGGCTCTCGAAGCTTCCCCACCTTCCTACGCCATCAACTTCTCAGGAGTGGCTCGAGAAAGAGATAGATGCATGTGCCAAGGGAGACAACAACCCCAGGTTCATGTGCCCAAATCCCTGTAGCCAGGGCGGCGGCCAGCCAAAGAAATGCCGCCCCGAGCAGGCGCGTGCGGTTCCTGGCATTCTGGGTTTCATACCCGTAGGGCTCGGGTGCGGTGAGTATTTCCGATTTCCAGGAAGTCTGTTGGAAGTTACCAGCAGGGAAGGAGAAGACGCTTGTTCCTTCCCCCCTCCCCCTACCCTTCTTCTCCTTGTCCTTGTCGTTCTGTTTGGGGGGCTGGTTGGTTCAGATGCAGCGAATGCTCCCTGGCAGCCCGATTCGCCTCCCACACCTTCCTGATCCTGGGGCACCAGGGATGTTTGTACCAGGGCTCTCTTGTGGGAAACAGCACCGCGGGGGAGAGGAGGCGACCCAAGGAGGAATTGCAAAGGTTCTGGTTCTCCTTCATCCTCTCTTTTTTTTCCAATTCGGAGACTTGAGACTGGGTGCATCTTGGATGGTGCTGGAGGGTTCAAAAGATAACACCTTTAGGTACCAAAACCAAATAACTTTTTAAAAATCCACCAAGCCAGAATGAAAGGAGGACACTGAGAAAGAGATAGATCTGAAGGTCCTGTTTTCGCCCCCCACCCCCAGACCCTGAGGATGGCGATTCGCTTTTGCTTCCTTTGAAATGGACCAAGTGATCAGACTCCCCCAGGCCGGCAGGCATCAGTGGCAGGAAAATAAATCATTCTGATGGAGAGAGAGAGAGAGAGAGAGAGAGAGAGAGAGAGAGAGAGAGAGGTTGGCAGGGGAGAAAAAAATCTACGTAGAAAAATAAAGGCCGACCAAGGAGCAAAGGCAGGACTCCATCTCTAAGGTCGGCATCACACTGGATCTGAGTTGGAAATTAGATACAAAGTGGGCGACATCACTGACTAGCCGGGAGACTAGCCTTGAAGATAGAAATGCTATTTTAGAAAATGTGGAGTTTTTCAGTTTTCTTGCTTTTATTCCAAACAAAGCTCTGAAGGAAGTCTGGGCACGATCAATCTTGCTCACCAAAAGCCTTGACAGCTTCTGGCCCTTAAGAACACATTTCAGCTTCCAGCTCTTTCCAAGATCAAATGTGGCCGAGCAAAGAGGAGAGCAGGAAACGCAAGTAAACAAGAAAAACTAGTCTTTTAAAAAATATTTTTTGGCAGTGGAAAGGGTTATAGGGCTGCTTTTAGGAAAGATGCTTTGTGGACTCCGGGATGGCAGTTTTTGGTTTTTGCTTTTAACCAGAAAATACTGAGGGGTTAAGGGAAGGGGAGGTGCAGAGAGGGAGCAAGCTTCCCGCATATCTCTGAGGCTTTGTCAAGGGCTGTGTGGGTGAGAGCTTTCCGCCTGCCTTAGCCACCTTAATTTAAATACCATCTGGAAGAAAAACCTTTTCTTCAACCACTCAACACTGAAATCTTCTCCAAATTTATTACTTTAACTCATGAGATATTTTAATAAGGATTTCTGTATAATATCTAGGAAGCTGGGGGGGAGTGAGATCAATAGTTTTTTCTTTGAAAGCCAAAATGAATGTCTTGACTGGCAAGATATGGGAAATCACATTAGAATCTCATTTAAAAATCTCTGCCCTAAGGGAAGAAGGAAACCTCCAAACCATTCCTTCCTCAGCTGAAGGGTAGATTTTAGAAAAGGGTTCAAATAGTGGTTCAAAATCCCCAAAAGATTTTCATCTTTAGATGTATCTCTCGCTCGCTCTCTCTCTCTCCCTCCCTCCCTTCCTCCCTTTCTTATTTTCCCAGGTAATTTTATACGCATCACTAAAATGATTATTTAAAAAGAAGACTCCTGATCTGCTCAGCGTGAACAACCCAAAAGGCTGCCGTTCCAGTCTTCACAAAGACTTTTGTGCAGCCTCTGCATTTCTGAGGTGCGCCATATTTTGGCAGGGAGGTTGGGGCGAGGGGAGAAAATCCACTTCCTCCACAGCCCAAGCTCTTTAAAAAGAAAAAAATACCTATTAGGAGCCTCTGGGCAGATGTGGAGAAAGCACCTCTGGGTCTGAGAGAAATACTCAGCTCTCTACAGCCGCCTGGCTTTGCATCCTCAGAGCCCTTTTCTTAGACCGTGAGGAGGTTTCCTAAAAGCAGCTTGTTGAGACCCAGTAGGTACCCAGAAAAGGCTCCAGTGCCTGTTAAGGATCAGCTGAGGGAGCTTCTCAGGGGGAAGATAGAGGCCATGATGATGCTTATTTTGGATTGCAAACAAAATGGCGACATTTTCCATGTCTGCCTCTGAAATACAATTCAGGGAGAATGGGGATTTATTTCTCACATCAGATGCTCCTGATCCCCAGACGAAGGTGCTTCCTCACTTCTGAGGTGGTGATGACGGGGATGCAGGTCAAAGGTTCTGTATTTCTGACTTTGGTTCCTTCTCTGAGCAATTCTTCAATCTGAAGATGAAAAGACTTCCCTTTACTGTGCCTGCCTTTGCCCGACCAGCCAGTTAGTAGGCAGCCCTCTTAAATCCAGGAGAAGTGTAATATTTAGCTCCTGTAGCATCAAATGAAGAAGTACTTATAAAATTGCATTTTTTATTAGAAAGACACCAATCTCCTTTCCCTCTCCCTCTCCCCGAGGCCAGAAAAAGAAAGCTGGGAGGGAAGAAGGAGAGAAAATAAATCCAAAGAATGTGAAATACTAAATTCAGGAGGCAGCTGATGATGGGATGCAGGCAGACCCAGGAAGGGCTCCGGGAGCTCTCTGGAGCTCAGCCCTCCTTTTGCTGGGGACCTGGGTGAGCCTCGGTCCCATTCAAACTGCTTAGTTCCGCTTGGGGATTTCAGGATCCATTCTTTCCTCCTGGCGCGATAATGCGCCACGAACCATCCCCAGAGGAGACCAGGGGTCCGATTGCTCGTGGAAAGCGCTGAGCATCCTCTGCGCGGCTGGTTGCTCCCGGGTGAAGGCGTTGGCTAGTCGGCTTTGACCAGAGGAAGACGGTGGAAGAGAAGATCGCCCTACGCTATCCCCCGGCGGGCCCGCGGGGCACCTGTGCGCTCCCGCTGCGCCTCGGCCCAGCTGCCTTTGTTTCTTCCGCACACGGCGCTCCGCAGCCCCTGTGCCCTCCGCCTGCCTCCGCGGCAGCTGGGAACCAGGCAGCCCAGCGGGCCGGCCGCGCGGCGTTGCCAAAGCCGCCGCCGCCTGGAACCTCAGCCGCGGTCCCGGGAACTCGCCGAGCTTCCGGGCTCGGGAGCCCAGGGCTGCCGCGCGGCCTACTCCGCCAGCTCGCCTCCGCCTGAATCCACGCAGACCCACGTCTTCGGCCAAAGAATTCCTTCTGAACACGGATATTATTCAGAATAAAAACTTTATTTTTTTGTTTTGTTTCTCAGAATGTGAGCAGCAAGGAATGTAGAACTCTCAAAAACAAATCTAGCCTTTTTTCGCGTTTACATATTTTTTTTTCAGTTTTGTAGGATGCTACAAACCTAAATCACCGTTTTCAAAAGGTGGATCTTCTCTGGTTTTATTGCATCGTTACTGTTTTTATAAAGGACTTATATTTCCCTTTCAAATAAAAAAATTTCTATGTACGCCAATACACCATCGAACAAAAGGCCCAAGAACCCTTCTGAATAATCAGGGTACAGAATTTCTTTAATATAAATACGAACGGATGGGGATAAATAATATTTAAAACTTAGATATTCAATGCTTGCAAAAGAAAATATAAATAAATCTGACTGTTCACCAGCATACACACACGGAAAGACGTACACTTAGTCATCCTTGCACAGGGAACCCCTGCTTCAAAGCGCCTTTGATTTTTTTTTTTTCGCTCTTTACAAGAAGTGCAATTAAAAAAAACCTAAAAATTAAAAAATGTAATCGCTTCCCCTCGGGAGCCATAATGTACGAACAAATTCACATTGAAAACTCGACTAGAAAATTTGTTCATATACCCTGTTTCTGATCAAAGACTGGAGAAGGTAAAGGGTGCAGGGCCGGCGGCCGAGCGAGGGGCGGGAAGAGATAAATATCGCTACTGATACTGACAGCCATTCCAGCAACCAAGATTGCTACGTCACATAAACTATA